GCGACATTAGTAGTGAAATCATACCCCTAGTTATTTCTCTATTTACTACATACTATTTAATCATTGTTCTTTAGTTTATTTTATTTTTTTCGACTTAGTTAATTTAGAATTAATCATCATAATTCGATTATCCTACTTTCAAGTTAATTTAGAATTTAAGAAATCTGTTGACAAACTTATTTTACATAAGTCCCTTGGGTACGACACCCTTACAAGTAAACCCCATCTGCAAATATTCGTGCACTTGCAAGTGGTACATATAAATCTCATAAAATTGTAGCTCTTCGAATTTATTTTCAACCCACTCGGGAATTTAGCTGTTTTAACGCTCCAGAAGAGAGATACAGCCAGATTACCAAAATAGGTTCAAGTTACCAACTTTGACGAAAGTTTCCTTTTTGGAGAAGGATTTTTCATTTTCTTCTTCTTTCCTTTCTCATCAACTTGTGGCTTCTTTTGGACTATTTTCTAAGTATAATTAGACTTGGATCTTCAATATTGCTCTGTCCCACGGAATGTCATCTCAGAATCATTGGTCTTGACTGATTTTACAATTAAAGCCCTGAAATAAATAAAAATAATAAAACATTGTAAAATCACAAATAAACTATTATTAAAAGAATAAAACATGCAAGTAAAGAGTCTAAAATGTATAACATTCAGCACCTAATTTTAAATCAAGACTTAAAGGATGTCATAATTGCTTTGTCTCCCGTAAATGCAATTGAAAAATTAAATGGTAGGAATATCTCCAGGATTCAAAAAATATGTCTATATAGTGACACCCTCTGTGAACATATGTATTCATCTAATTTTAAAATTCAAAACAAAATTTTCAATTTGAAATAGTTTCAAAGAATTTTCCTATGAAAATAGCTTTTGTAATATAAGAAAACTATAAATCTAGTAAGTATAAGTTGGAAATATAACCAGTTTGGCATGACTACAATTTGGTCGTGGGAAGTAGGTTGGAATTTCAATTCTATTCACCAGAATCATCGTCGGAATCAAAATTTGATGGTGAGAACCTTTGCTAAAGTCTCATCTTATCTAGGTTTATTCACTTGAAACTTCGTCGGAACCTCATGGAATTTCAATTCCGATCGCCATTCTGGTTGCCAGAATCATTGTCGGAGTCTGGATTTGATGGTTGAAACATTTGCTGGAGTCTCACCATATTTAGGTTCATTCACCAAAACTTCGTCGGAACCTCGTTGAATTTCAATTCTGATCGCCAGAATCATTGTCGAAATTAGGATTTGATGGTTGAAACATTTGCTAGAGTCTCACCATATTTAGGTTCATTCACCAAAACTTCGTCGGAATCTCGTCGAATTTCAATTCTGGTCGCCAGAATCATTGTCAGAATTAGGGTTTGATGGTTAAAACATTCGCCGGAGTCTCACCGTATTTAGGTTCTTCTGCCGAAAACTTCATCGGAACCTCTTCGGAATTTTATCGAAATATCTCTCTTTCTTCACTTTCTTAGACTTTGTTTCAACTCTTAACACCCTTATAATGAGCTTACTTCTGACCCTTTATGGTGCTCAAGTTTCCTCCCTATCTTATACTTGCTTTCAACCCTTTGGCACCCTTAAAATGTATTCACCTCAAAGCTCTTTTATAGTACTCCAAGCCATGGGTGATTTATAAGTGTCGCATTTATTCTTTAACTATTAAGCCTAAATGTTATTACTAAACTTTAACGTTATTAAAGAATATTTTCAACAACGTTACAAAGGAAAACTAATTTAAATTTTGAAATTCGGATATATATTTTTATATATATATACTAGATAGAACCACGTGCATCGAACTTAACAATATTTTGAGATAGTAAAATAGCTTAGATAATATAAATCTAAAATGAAATTAAAGTAACTTGCAGATAAAAGTGCTAAATTAATTTGGTTTATGTATTTATAAATTTAGAGCAAAATAAATTCAAAACTTTAAGTTATCATTAATCATCCGAATAACTATTTGACTATTAATCTCAAAGATAAATAAGACTTTTCATCATCTTCAAAGTCTCTTTATCTAAAACCTTGTGCAAACCCTAATATTCTTGTGGTATTTATAGCCGAACAATTAAAGAATATAATTTTATTTTGCAAAGTAATGAAAAAGACTATTGAATCAATTGTACAAGAGATTTATTATATGAAATCATATGATGTATTAGAATATAAACAGTACGTTTATAAATACTACATATAACACATTACATTTTTTTATAAATAGATTTAAAAACATGCAATAAAAATTAAATAATTATATGTGCACGATCAATAATTATAGTATGACTAAATAGAATATAATATACATTATAACATATTATATAGAGATCTTAAAGTTGTTCACACATAATTATTATGATATATAGTAAGTATTATGATATATTCATAAATAAAATCTATAATTATGAACACTCTAATTTTTTTACAAGTGTTTGTTGTTAAAAGTGTGTCTCTTTACGCACCGGAAACGTTTCTAAATTCAGAAAAGGATTATAACACTTGCCTATTTCACTCTGTATAACACTTATAATTGTGTCCCTCTAATTGCTAAATTTAGAAAAGGAGTATAAAATTTACGTATTTCACTCTCACCTTCATGACATTTTCATTTTTATCCAATAAATTCTCCCAACACTCTAAATAAATTGAAATTCATACTTTTTCATATGAATAGATTTCAATACATGGAATTAATACATACCAGAAATTCAGAGATAACTAAAATTTGTCAGGAGAGATTTATTTATAAATGAAATTTATAACTTTCAACCATCATCTGGTTTCTTTAAGAGATGTTTAATAATATCAATTTCAGTAAAATTGAATAATTTTATATACAAGAATGTTATGAGCTTTTTATTCCAATGCGGTTGAATAAATACAACTTTTAATTTTTGATTTAGACATATATTTATTATTTAATATTAATAATTTATTATTTAAAGAGATTGACTTTTAGTCAAGGATTGTAAAGCTTCTCTACTTACAAAAGAATTTAGAAAAAAATTTTACACTGCTTGATGCACGATAGAATTTTAAATTTAATCAATCACGTTTTTCCTTAACGCTAAAGAAAAAGAGTGAAAAAGAAAAAGATTTCACAATTAAGAAGAGTTTTAGTTTATGATACTTTTCTAAAAAAGATTGTGACTTTCAGTAATATAAATGATTAAGGAAGTGAAATAAAAGTGAGTTTTTATTTGAAGAATAGAATGTATTGAGATGAAATAATTTTTTTTTAATTGAAGATCATATCCATGCTTTTTTTGTTTTTTGTTTTGTTTTGTTTTTTTTTTTTTTTTTTTTTTATAAAAAAATCAATATAAGTAAATAGAAATTGGTTTCTGATGATATATATATACACATATATATGTATATGTAATACATATATTATAGTTAAAATATATATTAAACTGGTTGAACTAAATGCCGTTTTATTCTAAATGTAACTCTAGAGAATTTCTTAATTTCTCAGTATTTTTTTTTTTACATTGCAATTTCTCAATACTTTCAAAAATCTTCATGGAATGGACTTCCAAATATAAACAAAGTATATAACGGAATTATAAATACTTTAGAGAGAATAACAAAGAATAGTAAACACGTTATATATGCAGAGAATGGGAATTTTTTAATATTTAAACATGATCAGGATGTAGTTAGACCAAAACACTTAGTTATAGCAGAATATAAATAGTACAAATAAAGTATTATAAAATAATAACAGTCCAATAAAATATCAGTAAAAGCATATTAAAGTAATAGAGAGTAAAAAACTTCTGACTTGTTGGAGAGTTGAAAGGCTCCAAGATTGTCACGTTCACAAAAGAACATTTATCAAGTCTTCCACTATCATTTAAAATGTATATAAATATTATAAATCAAATACACTTTTATAGGGTATAAAAATCAAAATTGAATACACTTTAACATATAAAATATAAAAACTCCCCATGTACTAATTATGTATTGTATATATAATGATTCATTCGTAAAAGAATTCTATGATAGCTAACTGACATTTTAATCAATGATTATACGCGTCAGTTATCTATATATAATTGTACATGTATATTGCTAATAAAATATAATATTTCATATATTTTATCCATGTAATTTTTCTGAACCGAACAAAGTTAATATTCATACATATTTCTTTCACATCGTAATAAAAGAATTCCAGAACTGAACTCCTCATGTACAAATAAAATATAAAATATAATAACTCCTCATGTACTAATTATGTATGAAACAATATAAATATATGTATGATTAGAAAGAAAGATAAAATATATAAATTGTCCTTCAATTCAAAGTAAAATATACCTTTAAAAAAAAAAAATTTGAAAGGGTTTTGAGTTGTAATTTGATGTACATGAACCAAAAGACAAGTCTCCTCTCAAAGTCGTTGAAATTCTTTGTGGAAGATGAAACCTTTAACAAACTTTTTGTGAAGAAATTCTTTTCAAAGAGAGATGGAAAGAAATAGAGAGGAGTGAAATATAGGGTGATAAATAAGTGTTTGCAGTTAAAAGTTGACTTTTAGAAAAGGTATTAGTAGTTATTTGAAAAGTCACATTTGTTTATTAAAATAAATTAAATGATTTAATTGTATATAAATAATAGAAGGTGACTTTTGAAAGGGGTGTTATTAGTTATTTGAAAAGTATATATTATTATTATAAAAAAGTATATATAAAAAATACAAAGTGTAGTTAAAAGTTGACTTTTAAAAAAGGTGTTAGTAGTTATTTAAAAAGTCACATTTATTTATTAACATAAATTTAATGATTTAATTGTATATAAATAATAAAAAATAACTTTTAAAAGAGGTGGTTATTTGAAAAGTATATATTATTATTACAAAAAAATATATATAAAAAATACAAATAGAATAACACTTTTATAAGATATATATATATCTATATATATCTATATAAAACATAAAATTAAATAAAAATTAAATTCATGTGGTACAACGTACAAATGACCAGTGATTTAGCACCACTTGAACAAAAAGTCAAAAGTTCCTCCAATTCTCCGCTAAATTTCACATCGCCGTAGATGACACCGAGAAGCTAATCTCTGCTTCTCTCTCCACTGAAACTGAAATCGGAGAAAACAAAAAAATGGACACTCCCTACCCAAAACCCATAACCCCAACCCAAACTCGCATTGGCTGGATTGGCATAGGCGTGATGGGCTCAGCCATGGCCTCTCGCCTCCTGTCCGCTGGCTACTCCGTCACCGTCTACGCTCGAACCCCTTCCAAAGCCTCTCAACTCCAGTCCCAAGGTGCCCATCTCGCCAATTCTCCGTTCGATGTCGCCAAAACCAGCGACTTAGTTTTCACAATGCTGGGACACCCAGCAGATGTTCGACAAATTGTCTTAGACAACGAAAACGGCCTCCTTGCCGGCCTAAACCCAGGAGGAGTAATGGTCGACACGACCAGCAGCCATCCTGCTCTTGCCCGGGAAATTTTTGCGGCTGCCCGTGAAAAGAATTGTTGGTCTGTTGATGCTCCAGTGTCCGGTGGCGACATTGGGGCGAGGGAGGGGAAGTTGGCAATATTAGCGGGCGGAGATGGTGGGGTAGTGAAGTGGTTGTCGCCATTGTTTGATGTGATGGGGAGGGTGACTTATGTGGGCAATGCGGGTTGTGGGCAAAGCTGCAAGATAGCTAATCAAATTACGGTGGGAGCGAATTTGGTTGGGCTGAGTGAAGGGTTGGTGTTTGCAGAGAAGGCAGGGTTGGATGTGAGACAGTGGTTGGAAGCGGCTAGGGAAGGGGCGGCAGGGTCGATGGTGATGGAGTTGTTTGGGGAGAGGATGATTGGGAGGGACTTCAGACCTGGTGGTTTTGCTGAGTACATGGTGAAGGATTTGGGGATGGGCGTTGATGTTGTGGAGCCAGAGAGCGACAAGGTGGTGGTGTTGCCTGGAGCTGCATTGTCCAAGCAGTTGTTCTCTGGGATGGTGGCTAATGGGAATGGAAAGCTTGGCACTCAAGGACTGATTACCGTTATAGAGAGGATCAATAGCAAGTGAGTCTCTCTCCCTCTCTCTCTCTCTCTATATATATATATATTTGGTGCTAAGGAGTTTGGGAGCTGTATGTTAGTAATATGAAGATGCAATTGGGTTCATTAGATTTGAGTGGTTTTCAGTTGGAACTGAAATAATGCTTGACAAAGTGAAAACAGTGTATCTGTTCATGTATTTATTGGATTGTCATTATGCTATACTGAATTGTGTTGTGTTTTAAGACATTATCAATGGATTAGTAGGCCCATAACTACTGTGAAGCTATGTCATAGGTACCTTGCCACACACATTTGCACATAGCAAGAATGGCTGAATTAAGATGATTTTGGATGCAAAAAGTTTGAATGATTTGAGACTTTCAAGCATTTGTTACATAGACAGAAAGAAGATAGTAAAATTTCATGCTTCAGTTATCAGGATCATGTGAACAACTTACCTTTTAAATATATAGCTTTTGTACCCGATTTATAAAATTTAGGTATGTGTTATGAATGGTTTCAACAGCAGACAGAAGAAGTTGGACATTTATATGTTGATCTCAATCATGGACATTTTTTTATCAGTACCACTCTTAATCAGATTTCGAATTTCAAATCTCCTGTTAAAAGAAGTCATTAGTACCTCAGTTTATACGGTAACAATAACAATTACTCAATAAAATTACTTAAATCACACATACGCACATGCATTGGTAAAGGAAATAGTAAATGACAGGAAAAAACAATTTTATCCTTCGTGCTTGCGTTTAGGATCAACAAAATGCTAAAATTCATATCTACAAGCATTAGTATAATGAATAATGCATTTAATAAATTTTAAATGAGACTCTATAGGATTAGTTTGATATCTGACATGTGGTTCATTCTCTGAATGCGATATCTAAAGGTTAGCAGTCAATTACATTAAGCTGTCTATCACGCTCTTTCATAAGGATGGATACCCTGAAACAAGCCTAATGTTAAAAAGGCTTGGGAGGTTCACTTTGAAGGTATCCCCATGTTTCAACTTGCCCAAAAACTCAAGTTGGCTAAAGCTGAGCTTAAAGTTCTCAACAAAAACAGTTTTGATAATCTTCCAAAGTAAAAGTGAGGACTAAAGCTGAGGACTTGTACAACATCCTGCAAGGGATTGATGCTAGTCCTACATCCCATGAGCTCATAATTAAGGAGCAAACTGTCCTAAAGCAGTTTATCCAGCTCAACAAAGTAGTGGGCAGTTTTTATAAACAAAAGGCTGGAATCAAATGGTTCCAGTTGGGGGATCAAAACACAATCACAGAAAGCATTCCAATTGAATCTTCTTTATCGAAAAAAGATGGTACCCTCACTACGTCTCCCTCGTCTTTTGGGTTACTCTCCTTCTATTGATAGTAACTTGCTGAGTCTTGTCCACCAATTTATTTCTAACCCCATTTCCAAGTCTCTGGGTCAAAACCTTATTGCTGCCATCACAGACCAAGAAATTCTGGACACTTTCTTCTCCCTTAAAGGATTGCAAAGCTCCAGGGCCAGATAATTTCGATGCTCTGTTCTTCCACTGAGATGGGTATGTCCTTGGAGTCAACTTCTGTAAAGCTGTCATTCTTTTTTCCCCTCTAATTCTCTTCTTTCTGAGGTTAATTCCACTTCAATTTCTTTGATCCCCAATGTTTCCTCTCGTACTAAAAATACTGGTTGTCTACCAATATCTTGTTGTAAGACAATCTATAGATAAATGCATTGCTTGGAAGTTCTTAGGACCGATAACTCGAGGCTCTGATAGAGAGTCCGTGCAGGGCCCTTGATCTATACCTAGAGGGGGGTGATTAGGTCTTGTAAGTTGGATAAGCTAATTTTAACTACTTTTTGAATTTAAACAAACTTGATGGAAATTGAAATTCAAATAATAATAGAGAAATAAAAAACTACTCAATCCATTATCCACGCATGCAAATAACAATTTCAATTTCAATCCATTATCCACATTGTAGCCTAGTGGTACTTCCTCGCCTTCAAATGTAGAAGGTTGAGGGTTCAAGTCCCCACTAAGGTAAGTGGGTGTGTGAGTGTGTTTCTTGCCAAGGTAAAAAATAAATAAAAAATTAAAAAGAATAAAAAAATAAAAACAATGGAAACAGATTTTTACGTGAAAACCCCAAATGGGAAAATCCACAAGACCTATTTCACGCAAACTGAATCCACTATGAAAAAGAAGGATTACAACCTAAGTTAACAGTTTCGAAGTCCTAGAATCCCCTGGTTACCTCCATGAAACAGATCAACCCACCAATTCTCTATGAGTCTCCGAGCACATGATCCGCTTATCAACAGAGTTTGCTCCTCTCGAATCTGCTTCTCCAACGAGTGATTTAGTTTCAATCACCAGTCGTCCAGATCAGTCTTTGATTAATTGGAATGATTATGGTGTTATTCAGTTGAAGTCCGCAGCGATAAATGTCAACAAACAATGAAAAACACTCACCAATACTAAGATTTGTGAGGGCAAATAAAAATATGATCCACACCAGAACCCAATATAATACTCTCTCTGTATGTATTCTCTGCACGCATATGTTCTGCCTTGAAGTAGTATATATAGGCAAAATAGAGAGAGATTAGGGTTTGCTATGTTCTAATTCAAAAAGGAAACTGAATTTCCACAGTTATCAATCGATCGAAGTGTTTATCGTTCGATTGACTCAATTCCAGTGGTTCTTGATTGATGGCTTGATCGATCAAAGTGTACTGCATATTTTAAGCTATATAATTGGTACCTTGAGGCTAGTAAAATTAGATCTCTAAACTATACTTATCAAACATTTTGCAAAGCTCAACATCAAGACCATTTAAATCTAAACTTTCGGTCTTAGGGAGAACCACATGGCAATGGTGCCTTGCGTTTTTTGAACCTAATAATATAAAGCTTTTGCCGATTCTTTAAGCAGTTGAGACAACCTAGATAAACAGCCACGGATTCTGTAGGCTCAGTTCCATAGAAATGAGAATGAAACATTTGTTTAATGGCAAACTGATGTATCAGGAGAAAAAGAGTCACCAAAAGGAATTTTGGGGGAAAGCCTTATTTTAAGAAAGTTATTCAACCTAACTTTTCCACATTAGACTATGAAATGACCAGTGTGTTTTAAGTGGTCGAAGTAAAATCTTCTCCTGAGAAAGAAAGAAATTTTGGGACTCGATAGCTCTTGGGGAACTCAAATCAGTCTATATAGTCTGGATATGATTTCTTATAAATTGGTTTACCCACTCTCGACTTGGTCTCTATTGATCCAACATGGGCTAACGCTGACGCTGCACCTGTGGTTGAGATAAGGGTACATTTTGACAGATTAAATTTTTTAACATAATCTTGTTCCACTGGGTGTGGAATTACCTGTAGGTGAGGCTGAAAGGTGGGATTTGGCGTCTCCAGTGAACTTGCTCATACCCATTCCAATATGTTGTTTATTTAGTAGTGGTTGATTGATTGAAGTTCTTATCATTCAGCACCTGAGCAGGCTGAGGAACCACCTGAGGGTTGAGGCTGATGCTGAGCCTGCATTTGTTGTTGCGGCTGCATCTATGCTGGCTCTCGAGTCTAAGTGTATAGTGGTGGCGACCAATTAGGTGAATGCCACAGGTTGCTGCATAATAGGTGTTGGTTCAGCCTAAACAACTAACTGGTCTATTCTGATGTTGTTCGAACCTCGATGACAAAGTTGAGGGAGTTGTTCAAGTTTATGGCAGAGTTATGGTGAGGCTCTAAGGCATAAAAGCACCGTGAACCTCTTATGTGTTATATCTTTCGTTGGACTCTTTAAGTCCATTTTTTGTGCCAGGTCAAATTGGCTTGTGATTGCTAGACTCACCTTCATGCCGGGGGTCTTGTTATGGTAGATTTTGGGATCTTGATCTGGTGATTCACATGAGATTGAAGTATTTGACACTATTGAAAGATTTTAAAATCTTTCGGTAACTGATGTTGTTTCCTATCATTAAAGATTTTCCTTCACTGATTCCTCCATTAAATCTTCAATAGACAGGTCTCACGTGTTCCAAAATTGTTCTATTTGTTTTTACATGGGCGTGCTAAGTCAAATTCTGACTCAGAAGAACCAAACTATCCTTATACGTGATCTGTCTAAATAGACACAATCAGTCCGGTTAGCAAAAAATGCTGGGAAATAAGGATGCCCCTTCCCCTAGTATTTTCTAGCCCTCTGGAACGATGACTTTGTAAACAAACAAGTTTGATAATGAAATGAGTAACAACAGCATATTGAAATGAGAATAACACGAAACTCATATCATTATCAACCATCTCACGAAACTCGTATCATTATCAACCATCTCACCAATGGGCATTAGCCCAAATGGTATGACTTTTCTTTCCCAAAGGTATTTGTGGGTGTTTGTTTGAGTTTTCGAAAGACGAGAAAATATATATATATATATATATATATATAGGACAATGCTTAGGTCTTCAGTAGTGAGGATCTGCAATATATTTTCACCGCTTATGTGGTCCAATGAAAAGAAAACATGTCCTCTTTTATTAAAGAGATCAGAAAAATAAAATAAATTGGATCTTACCCGAATGAGATCAGGCAAAATGGGTTCAACACTTTATTTTTTATTTTTCCCGAACTTGTTCTTCCAAATTATAAACCTTGCTTTAGTATAGTTGCAGAAGGATCAAAACCAAGAGACCTTGAATCTTTTTAAGAAGCTCGTGTGAAACAAATTCTGAACAAACTTGATCAGTCCTTGCTTCTAACTCCATATGTAGTTTGCTCTAGGGCATGATTTGATTAAGTTATCACTTTTGTTTGATAGCATTCATGACGTAAAATAAATTTTCTAAATTTCAATCTCAAAGAAAGAGAGAGAGAGAGAGAGAGAGACCTGCTCCAATTTCAACATTCAATAAACCGAAAAACCAGAAGACTAATCTCTTTGGATTTTTTCAATCACCTCTACTATCCTATACAAGTATTGATTCAGTCTAAGACGGAGGCTTGATGCTCCAAGAGTTTGCGTGTGTATATATATGTGTGTGTGTATATTTATGTGTGTCTTCTTCCTGTCCTTGGTAATTACGTGCTTGTGTTCCTGTTGCAAGAACCCATGACAGGTGTCACAATATGGCCCGGGTTAGGAGATGATATTGGGTGAGCGGGAATACACAAATTGGTCCCACTTATGAAGGAATGCTCTCAACAAATTGATTGATCTGGATGCTTTTCATGGGTGACTTTTACAATGTTTGAGAAATTATTATATGGTCCTCATGGACCAATCATTGGTTGACGCTTTATCCAGCCTTTTGATTATGTACCACTAGATGGAACCATGTAATAATTTTGCCCAATATTTACTACTAGGCGAGTTTTTGGTCTAAAAAGTTCTAATCGCAATTATTGTGAGAATCAATAATTCTTTTTTTCACTTTCAAAACTTGTCCTTCCAAATTATAAAGCTTAATTTATTATAGTTGCAAAAAAATATTAAAACAAGTATGAAAGCAAAGAAACCTTGAATCTTTTTAAGCATCTCGTATCTAGGATATGATTCGATTAAGTCATCACTTTTTGTTTGATCAATCAGTCTGCCATTGTGTCTTATTCAATTTGTTAAACTAATGGTTCAATCAGTCAACTAGTTATGATTGACGTAAAACAAAATTTCTAAATTTCAATCACTCCCAGAGAAAACGAGTGAGTTGTTCCAATTTCCACATTCAATAAACTGAAAATAATTTTCTTTTTTTTTTAAAATTTAAAAATAAAAAATTGTACTAAAACTCAGTCATAAAATTATTTGTAATAATTCTCTGAAAAAATATATATATTTTTATGAGTCTTTCATAACTGTTTTTAGAGTCTACTTGGTTTGTAACTTTAAAAATAATTCTTAAAAATTCAGAAAACAAAAACTATTTTGAGATAATTATAAAAAGACATTGGTCCCAAAATAAATGTCTAACTTTTCACTTTTATCCAATCCAAAATAAGTATTCCATTTAAAAAATCAATGTACTATATATATATATATTGTGATAACATTAGCTATTTAATCTTATAAAAAGTAAACTATTATGTCACTATGGATCCACTAAAAGTAAATTTGGTAATTTATTCCCTATTAATACAATAAAAATAATACGTATTTAGGACCGCTTGGTATATAATGTGTTTTAAGTATTATGTTTTTAGTTAATATTCAAATAACTGTTTTATTTTATTATAGGTGTGTTTTGAATAAAAATTAGAATCGTGTCTGATAAAGAATGTAGGCTAATTCTGACACTTTCTTTTGTATTGGTCAAGTCTAATAAGGCGGCTTGATGGCCCCCCAGAGCGTGTCCAAGGGTTATGTCAATTGAACAACTATCTCATGCAGGTTGTCTGACTTATCTTACACAAAATAATATGTGGTTGCGTCTATATGGTTCTAATAGCAACTGTTTTACAAGAGTTATCTTACCGAAATTAATTTATTATTATTATTTATTAAAATAAATTATAATAAAAAATTCATACTAATTTGATGACATATTTTTTACTAAATATGCATAAATTTATCTTTAATTTTTTAAATTAATTATTTAAATATAAATCTTAAATAGAAAATTTTAAAACCATGTAATTCATTAACATATCACTTTTTAACTAATTTAATGACACATTTTTCATTAAACTTGTATAAATTTGTCTTTGATTTTTTAAATTAATTATTAAATGTAAATCTTAAGTAGAAAATTTTAAAGCCATTTAATTAATTTCTTGATTTTTCATTAATTTTTTTTTCCTAATTAGTATTTACACACATTTGTCTCTTCTGAGATTTGAACTCTTAACATCTCTTTGAGAGGTAAGAGTTGATACCGCTAGATTACTGTCATGAAAAAGAAGATATTTTTTGTTTAAGTAATTTATTAATTTTTTTTTTTTTATTAATAGTATGAAAAAAAAGATATTTTTTGACAATAAATTTTTTTTTTTTTTTAAACGAAGTATAATAAGTTTTATTATTAATAATAAAGTTTTAATAATAAATTAATCATTTTATAAAATGGTAGTTACCGATCTTTATTTTTTTTTTCTTATAATAAATTTATACTAATAATAAATTAAGGGAAATAGTATAATTAATATTTAGATTAGAGAAAAAATAACAAAAATAATTTAATAACAAATGACAAATTTAATGAGAATAGGTAAAATAATATTTTGTGATGAATTTGTCTTTAATTGTAATAAATTAATAGTTTAGGGAGACAATTTATGGTTCAGGAAGTTATTTGCAAAAAAATAATAGCTGGTGGAAGGTTTTTTTGCAATTTATCCTAAAATTATTGTATAATACTACACCCTTGGATTATGGATAAATAATTTCAAAAATTGCATTATTGAACTAAATAAAATACTTTAATAGACTCTTTTTCAAACAAACAATAAACTCTACCCGATAAAATCTTAGATTTGATTATAACATATATCTATACATCTTAGTAGTAATAATAATCATCATCTTAGATTTGCTTGTTTGATCTAGGTCTATGTTATGTCAACTGCAGAGTTTGACAAAAACTACAAACTGATGTGTAATTTAGCAAAATTGTCAAATTTTGGTTTTTGATTAGTATCGTCGTCTTTGATTATATTTTTAAAATTGATCTACGAACTCATATGGTCGTTTCTTAATTTTAAAATTATTTTTAATAAATAAAAGAAAAAAATTATTATTTTTAATTTTGTCTCATTTATTTAAAAAGGTGTGATAATAATTTGATTGTTATTATTTCATTTTATTTTTTTTCTCCCATTTATTATATTCAAATAAAAATATTATCATTTCTTTTATTTTCTCTTATATATATCCAAACAAAAATTTAAATTACTGTTATTATTATTATTATTATTTTTTCATATTTAATACTATCTCTCTTTTTTTTTGGTCTTTTATGTATCCAAACGGAGCCTCTAAATATTTTTATAAAGTTAATAAAAAAAAAAAGTGGCACATAATCGCATCGTCCAATTTAATTTTGAAAAAAAGAAAAAAAAAAACAAAGGGAAATTTCCTTTGCTCACGACCCTTCAACATATTCTGGAAACTTTTAAATAATTAATTAGAATAGACATAAAGTAACTGTGACTTATATTTAAAGGAAATTTCCTTTGCTCACGACTCTTCAACATATGGTAGAAACTTTTAAATCATTAATTAGAATAGACATAAACTAACTGTGACTTATATTTAAAATGACAATCTTTGTTAACATGTAAATAGAAGTATTTGCTCTAGATTATAAGCAATTTCATATAATGTTTATAAAATTATTCAATATTGCTAATTGCAAGAAAATTAAGTAATTTTGTTATATTTTGGAAGTGTTTTTGTTAAGAACTTTATAAAATAAATAAATAAATAGCCTTGAACGGGCTAATAAAACCTTAGGAATAGTCAATATATGTGTCTTTAATTTACACAAATTTGCATTAGTTCTGACTTGCCTTCAAGTTTCTACATCAACTTTAATAGGTGTAAAATGGAGAAGATTCAAATGAATCTAAGCCAAAATCTATATTCTAACATTAGGATCCATATATGGATCCGAATTCCAATCAAATCCAATCCACATCATCTATATTCCACTCGTATAATAGTAACAAGATTATAATTGAGTTAATATATTTGATTTGGATTTATTATAGAATAAAATCCAATTAAAATTTAAATTGTCTGTATTGAAATTAAACCTAACTAAGATTAATAATGAATTTTTTTTACAATAAATTACAATAACATTTTATAAGGTTTGAGCAAACTATTCATCGCTTATTACTTTGATCTCTCATAAACCCGTTCATCGCCCCTCTGAAAACTCAAAAAGTAACTTTTAGTGTGAAAAACCAGTAATGCTTTCATTTACAATAATATCTTATATTGCATTTTATATTATGAAAGGGTAAAATTGTCATTTTATAAAATTTGTTCAACTGGTACACAGAAAAGAAAACATTAGAGGTGTCATTAAGAACACATACCAGATCTTAGGAAAGGTCAAAGTGAAAAATGTTGAACGGTCTACTTGTGTGTAGTTTGTCTATATGTACTGATTTGAGTGTGTGGCTTGATAGGTTTACAGAAAGAGGGGACCAAGGAGGTTTGATTTGTGTTAGGCGTGATGGGGGTTTACAGAGGAAGAGAGCATGGGTTTCTTTGTAAAATCAATTTGTAGTAAGAGAGATGTTAGGTTTTTACAATTAGGGTTTTAGTTGTTAGGGTTTCAGGAAGGAGTTGCAAAAAATTATGGCGCCAATGAGGTTGGGTGGTCGATTTTGTAACGGAGAGATAGGACATAACTTTGTCGGGACAAACCTTATCCCTTGGTGTGTTGTCAATTTTTAATTGATTCTTAAGATTTTACTTTTCTCATTATTAAGTGTATCAAGATTAAAATTGTGTAGTTGTTTTACAAGGAATATTTGATCTTGAGCTGGTGGGGGTATATATATATATATATATATATATATATATATATAAAGAAGGTAATTCTGAGAATTTCTTGCTATATATAATTTAGGAATGTTTATTCCATTTTATTCTAGATTTTTTAAAGAAGATAGGGATGCAACCCCATTGAAATATGGATTCTAAATTAAAATTGAAAAAAAGAAAAAGAAAAAGGAAAAAAAGACTTTAATTAGTTCAAATAAAATGAGATAAATATTAGATATATAAAACGAGAGAGGTGATATTTGTGGAAAATGAGATAAATATTAGATTGAGAGTTATATAAAACGAGAGAGGTGATATTTGTGGAAAATGAGATAAATATTAGATTGAGAGTTGGGACATGTGCTGGCAATTATTAGGACATGGTCCCCACATTCCTGTTGGATGCATTTATGTACGATTTGGCTTTATGAAAGTGGAGATTCCCAATCGTTGGAAAACCCAACTTTTTCATTTTATACGTGCTAATTTACGTTTATTACTTCAAGTCTCCAACCTCAAAATGTATTAATTCCTTTTTTTCTTTTTTTTTTTTAATAGAGAATTCTACTAAAAAAATAAAATAAAATTGATCAATTCAATTATATAAATAGTGATTTTTTCAAGACAATTATATAAAAGATAATTTAATGATTTACTCACGCCTTAGAGGTTAAGAGTGCGAATCCCCTCATCTTCATAATTTTCTCAAAAATTGCGAGAATGTTTTAAGAAATATGATACCATAATTGTTTGAATTTTTTATTATTTATTTATTTTTAATATTCTCTCTATCTCATAATAAGTTTTCACAAAAAATAAACATTCGCCGTATCATTTGGATCCACTGTGAATATATTTGATAACTTATTTAGTATCATATGATAAAAAAATCATTAAAAATCATTTTTATAAAAATTTAAAAAGATACAAAAACTAAATTTGAAGAACCTTTAATTAAACTGTTTAACATGCACATTCAATCGTTCATGCAAGAACATATGTGATTACACCATAAATATTTTTCAGTTGAAAAGATTGTTATAGCCAATTCCAATTGGAAAGGTGATATGCAAAAGCGTAATCATGAAGTGACACGTGACTTCATCAAATGAAGCCATTTTGTACAAGATATGCAGTTGGAAAGACGTAGACTTTCCAAGTGGATACGTGGCAAACATATAGAAAGCCATATGTACCTTTGACCTAGTCATCAAGAATGACAACTTCCCTACTCCTATAAATCAGCAAAGTAGGCTGAAAACATGATGCATTTGCCAGAGAAAAATGAGGAAAACGTGGGACACATGTCAGCCAAAGAGGTAAGCAATTACATGCAATTGGAAAGACATGAATTTCCAAGTGGACATGTGGCAGGCAGAGAATGAGGCAGTTACATGCAGTTGGAAAGACATGACTTTCCAAGTGGACACGTGGCAAGCTTACCTACAAATTAGGGGCAGTTTGGAGATCGTGATCCATTCCATTTGGCAGTTCCAGAACGTGGCTAGAAGATTTTAATTGGAACAGAACCACCAAAACCACTCCTTCAAAACTGAAATTCATGGGACATTATGTTCTTACACGTGTCAACATTATGAGAAGAATAAGGAAGACATGGGACACGTGGCAAGATCCAGACCTTCTAGGTGGAAGTTCTCAACTGCTGCTGGAACTGTCGACTTTCCATCTGGGCAGTTCCAGAACGTGGGAGAAGGTTTGCAATCATGCATTCAACTGCCAAAGACCATTATATATCAATTGTAGATCATGGGAGAACATGGGTTTACACTTGGCAACATTTAGAGAAGACTGAAAGATCATGGGACATGTGGTGGTCCGGAACTACTATTCCACGTGGAAGCTGCTGAAGTTGCCACACCTAGTTAATGCATGCATGGAAAGCTCTATAAATAGAACACTTAGGCTTCACTTGCAAACCTTGTTCAAATCACACAGCAAAACAACACTTCAATATATTTATATTCATGTATCTTTACATTCATGTAATGCACCTTCAATATGTTTAATTCAAGTTCTGCACTTATTATTCCTACTTTCCAGCACTTTACTTTGAAGTCTTGTACTTTCAATACCGCTTTCTTTTCCACTAGTCATAGTTCAGTCCGAAAGTCCTTTTTCAAGGCAAAAAGAACCATTGAAGGTGGTAATTCCAGTCCTTCATTCAATCGCCTGATCCCTGCAATTTCCTACTGGATAGTTGTTCGGATATCCACTTTGGAACGACAGCAGTTCTTGGCACGCCCGACATCCACTCCTATTTTCCACTCACCTGGAAAGTGGAACTAGTGCTTCTCCGAGAGCCGAACATTTCTTGGCACGCCCGGCAGGACCTCTTAACAGATTGTTCAATGGCCGGTGGAAGAAGGCAAGGCAAGTCTGTCCAAGACCCTGCCAAACTAGAAGAGATGTAAGTCAGTGAACTTCCAGTGGAAAGTTCACAATTCGCACCCGATGAAAATGATATGGTGGAAAAATTTGCTCAAACAATGGCAAATGGACCCATCATGGACAACATCTGCATGATGGCAATGCAACAAGATAGGTTTGCGCAAGACCAAGCTAGAGTCGCCCAAGACTTAGCCAGAGTTGCACAAGATCAATCCAAAGCTAGTCAAGACCATGTAAAAGCCGCTCTTGCTAATGAGCGGAATTTAGCAGAAATGGTGGACCAAATCTCTTGAAGGTTCGAGTCCATTTTGGAGCGGACCCTTGGAAGCTTAAACCAAGGTTTGGCCCCTCGGCCAAGCAAGTCTGAAGGGTCCCAACAGTTGGCCTTCCAAGCTAGTAGGCCGGCCACATTTGTTGAAGGGAGTTTCTTTCAACAACATGCAGGGCCACTCCCTCCAACACAACAGCAGGTGCAGTCCCTTCCAATGGCACAGACTTACATTCCAGCTGCACCTGTGACTGCTCCAGTGGCACAGATGACTCTTCCACAAGCTGCGCCCATGCCAACTATTCAGCAAGTTCAGAATCCTCTACCTGTGGCATTTCCACAGCAGACTTGGCATGATCAGCCTAGCCAACCATAGCCATACCACAATCCTCAAGCACAACAGAATGTTCCACCACCTGTGAACATTTAGCCAGCCGCACCTGCTCCAGTAAGCCATCACCTATGGTCATTCCAATAGCGGTTGGGGGGCAACTTTTTCCAAGGGAGCCACTTCTTGACCAAGGAGGAAGGAACCGTGGCAGGAACAACTATGCAGATGCCAACCCCTTGCTTATGGCAGGTGGGGGGCATCAAGTGGCCAATCAATCTCAAGGTTGGCCAGACAACAACCCTCCACTACCTATGGCACTTAACAGAGGCCAATTTGCAGAATTCCTTCAGTCGGAATTTGGCCTAACTCGAAGGGGTGGAAGGCCAACTTACAGAAAGCCCTATCCAGAGTTCATTGATGAAGTTGAATTTCCAAGGAATTTCAGAATTCCAGAGTTTGCAACGTTTAATGGAGAGGGCGAACAGTATACTTTGGAACATATCAGTCGGTTCACTGTCCAATGTGGAGAAGCAGCAGCCAATCCATGGCTGAAGGTACGCTTATTTCCAAATACACTGACTGGGTATGCTTTCAGGTGGTATTCCAACTTGCCAGCCAATTTCATTCAAAGTTGGTAGCAATTTGAGGATTTATTCCATACTCAATTCTATAGAGCTGAGCTTGAAATGTCCATGACAGACCTTTTTAGACTTCATCAATTACCTGAAGAGTCTGTGATGAGCTTCCTTTCCAGATTCAGGTGGGCCAAGTTCAAATGTAATTTGTCTTTGCCGCCGGAAGAATATATGAAGATGGCTGTGAATGGCCTAGAATTTGAACTTCGCAAGAAGTTTAAAGGTGTACAGTTCCATGACTTGTTTGACTTGGCTGGCAAAGTGGCAAAGTATGAAGAGCTCCTTCGTGAGGAGCAAGATAGGAAGAACTCTTCCAAGGGCACCTACTATCGTGATCCTAAATATGAGGTGTATACCACTGAAACTGAAGGGGAGTTTGAAGTCAACGTAGCCGAGCTCAACATAAAGAAGGCTTACACTTGTGAGGCCTTGACAAAACCGAAATCAGCCACGGCTAACTTGCAGGCCGTTTCTGGTTCCAAGTGGAAGGGGGCAGATTCTTCCAGAAGTTACTCTTTTGACATTTCTAAAGCCGAGCTGACAAGCAATTGATTTTCACAGCGGGCCATAAGATGTCGTCGGCTTTAAAAATGGCCGAGAAGGAGTATTGCAAGTTCCACAATTCGTGGAAGCATTCCACTAATAATTGTGTTATCTTCCGCAACATTGTGTAAAAGGCAATCGAAGATGGCCGTTTGAAGTTTCCAGAAAAATCGGAAGTCATGGGTGTTGATCCTTTCCCCAAGGTTGTTGCAACAAACGTTGCTTCCATGGTTCCGGAGCATTCCAAAAAGGAGGTGGACTTGGTAAATCCAGTGACCAGTGGAAAGTTGGAAATTCCAAAGGCGGCAACATCTATGGAGAAGACAGTAGCTGAGTTGGAGAGGCAACTTCGAGAGGCCCAGATTGCTTTAATCCAACAAGGTTGCTGCCTCAAGTGTAAAGTTCAGAATGAAGGTTGCCGTAAAGACTTTCCAAAAGAGAAGCAGAATGAAAAGCCCTCCAATAGTGACCAGGGTCAGAAAAGGAAAGTCCATGACCGACTAACTTTCCAAAAGGTGGAAAACACAGTTACTGTAACCATTCCAAAGAAAGAAAGCCGGGTTCATCCAGAAAGAAAGGCAGTAGAGAGGAAATCTGAAATCCTTCCAAAGAGTTTAAAAAGGAGTAGAATTTCCTATCGGCCAGGTTCTCGTCCTCCTAGCAGAAAGTTTGAAAGGAGTAGATGGCAAGACAGAGGTTCCAAGCCAAAATTGGCCTCGAAAGTATGGGTTAAAAAGGAGAGTGAACATATCCGTTCAAGAATGGTTAAGCTTCCCACTTTACAAAATGATAGGTGGAAGAGGCTTAATCATCCCAAGTTTCTGATTCATACTGATTCCTATTTAACTAGCACACAAAGGCGAAGGCAGCAAAGGAAGAGGGCTGACAGAAGAAAATTATGGGAGAAAGATCACGGTTGGACTAATTGTTCAAAGAAGATAGCCAAACCATCTAACTTGTCAGAACTTCCAGCTAAAGGTGGAGTTAAAGATCCTGATGACTTGCTAGATCCTGATTTAGAAGTTGGAAACTCCTTGCTAGTAGACGTCCTTCCTATAAAAGATGAAACAGAAATGGAAACTTCCAATAGTTCCAGTAGCAGCAAGAAGATCTATTTTGGGAGCTTTCCAGGTGAATTTACTTGTAACTGGCATTTGAGGCCTTTCCATTCATTGGCCTTGGAATTGCTTGGCCAGTTTGATAATTTCCAACTTAAATATTGGCCAAGACATTTAAATACGGAGGTTGATGATTTAGCCCAATTAGCCTCTTGAGTGAAAGTCCCACCGGGAGTAGAAGAGACCATGATCACAATCAAAAGAAGGACTCTTCCTTTTATAGAGTCATGGCATGAGATGGCACGCCATTTCCAAGCTAACGAGCCAGAAATAATCAAACTTGCCAAGAAGACATGGGAGATTTTCAATGTTGATATAGATGGATTAGACTTGGAAGATTGGAGAATACCAATTATCCAATTCTTGCAAGAGCTTAGTACCAATGTGGACAAGAGGGTTCAGCTTTTGGCACTATATTACATTTTGATTGAAGGAGGATCTCACAAGCATACTGTGAATGGGGTATACTTGAAAAAGTATCACCCTTCCATCTATAAAAATTAGAAATCCACAATCGTTCAACCAGCCATGTAGAATGGCTGGTATTTTCTTTTCCAAGTAAACCGGAAAGCTGGAAAGGAAGCGTAATGGCCATACTTCGGCCATTCCAAGAAGGAAAACCTAAGTACTTGAAAAATTACATTGGCTAAAGTTATGAAGTAGACTTAACTGAATTTCCAAGATCAGCTAATTTCCTAAGTATAGAGTATTTCATTGAGAAGAGGCTACATTACATGGTCCAGTACTTCCAGTTTTTCTTCTTCAATTTCTTTTTCTTCTTCTTCATGATGGCGGAATTCAAATCCCATGCCTTATCATCAAATTGTTCCATAAGGCATGGAATTTGGTGGGCATATGATTACACCATAAATATTTTTCAGTTAGAAAGATTGTTATAGCCAATTCCAATTGGAAAGGTGGTATGCAAAAGCGTAATCATGAAGTAACACGTGGCTTCATCAAATGAAGCCATTTGGTACAAGATATGCAGTTGGAAAGACGTAGACTTTCCAAGTGGACACGTGGCAAACATATAGAAAGCTATGTGTACCTTTGACCTAGTCATCAAGAATGACAACTTCCCCACTCCTATAATATCTCCTAGTTTGTAGGAGTCACTCCAAGAATAAGGCAACCATTTGCCTTATTTAAGTGAGGAGGTTGCTAAAAATCAGTAAAGTGGGCTGAAAACATGATGCATTTGTCAGAGAAAAATGAGAAAAACGTGGGACACGTGTCAACCAAAGAGGTAAGCAATTACATGCAATTGGAAAGACATAAATTTCCAAGTGGACACGTGGCAGGCAGAGAAGGAGGCAGTTACATGCAGTTGGAAAGACATGACTTTCCAAGTGGACACGTGGCAGGCTTACCTACAAATTAGGGGCAGTTAGGAGATCGTGGCCCATTCCATTTGGCAGTTCCAGGACGTGGCTAGAAGATTTTAATTGGAACTGAACCACCAAAACCACTCCTTCAAAACTGAAATTCATGGGACATCATATTCTTACACGTGTCAACATTATGAGAAGAATAATGAAGACATGTGACACGTGGCAAGATCCAGACCTTCTAGGTGGAAGTTCTCAACTGAAGCTGGAACTGTCGACTTTCCATCTGGGCAGTTCCAGAACGTGGGAGAAGGTTTGCAATCATGCATTCAACTGCCAAAGACCATTATATAGCAGTTGTAGATCATGGGAGAACATGGGTTTACACTTGGCAACATTTAGAGAAGGCTGAAAGATCATGGGACATGTGGCAGTCCGGAACTATTCCATGTGGAAGCTACTGAAGTTGCCACACCTAGTTAATTCATGCATGGAAAGCTCTATAAATAGAACACTTAGGCTTCACTTGCAAACCCTGTTCAAATCACACAGCAAAACAGCACTTCAATATATTTACATTCATGTATCTTTACATTCATGTAATGCACCTTCAATATGTTTAATTCAAGTTCTGCACTTATTATTCCTACTTTCTAGCACTTTACTTTGAAGTCCTGTACTTTCAATACCTCTTTCTTTTCTACTAGTCATAGTTCAGTCCGAAAGTCCTTTTTCAAGGCAAAAAGAACCATTGAAGGTGGTAATTCCAGTCCTTCATTCAATCGCCTGATCCCTGCAATTTCCTACTGGATAGTTGTTCGGATATCCACTTTGGAACGACAGTAATTCCTGGCACGCCCGATATCCACTCCTACTTTTCACTCACCTGGAAAGTGGAATTAGCGCTTCTCTGCGAGCCGAACAATATGTATTAAAAATTTGGTGAGGAGCACCAAACTTTTTACAAGAACTGGACTAGTGATTTGACACGATGGACTAAGCACATTGAAGTCAATAGGGACAATTTTAGAATATTTGAAAATTATTTCAAACAATTGATGAATTGTCTCTGTTCAAAATAAGTGTCCGACACGACACATCCCAATACCCCATCACGAAATATTCATATGTACACGGACCATTACTCCTCCTTGTCTATAAGTAGAGGGAAGATCGTGGTATTCATTTATTTTATGCATTTCTGACATAGTTAAGCTAAGTGCATCTCTCACACTAAATCTCTCTATATATACTCACTTGATATATATATAGACCATTACTTGTTCTTGTCTATAAGTAGAGGAAGATCGTGGTATTAATTCATTTTATGCATTTCTCACATGGTTAAGGTACCTACATCTCTCACTCTAAATCTCTCTCTCTATATAGACTGACTTGATATATATATATACACACACACACACACACACACACACACACATAGGGTGTGTTGAAGATAGGACTATAGAGGAAATATGGCGCTGAGCTTAGTACCCCAGATGGCAGATGAAAAGGTGTTCGAGGGAGAAGGTGGATCATACCATAGTTGGTCACCTTCCAACTTTCCATTGCTTGGTGAGGCTAAGGTTGGTGCAGGTGTTCTCATGTTGCATCCTCGTGGTTTTGCTCTACCTCACTATGCAGATTCCTCCAAGATCGCCTTTGTTCTTCAAGGTAATTATTTTCCTACTTAAATTTGCAACAAATTAAATTATATATATATATATATATATATATATTTCTGGGTTAATTTCTATATATTGTTACTATCATCTTGTAAATGTTGAAAAGTAGATGGAACTCAGATCTAGATGTGGTTTTTAAAGTGTTTTTTCTTGGCTTCACCATGTACTAATATATTTGACATTTTTTTAAGTATATACCATTACAAGTGGGATGTTGATTAATTTAATTTATTTTCTTGGTTTTCTCATATGTGTAGCTAGTCTATTACTCTATTTTCTTTGTTTGGGTAGGGTTTTATGTTCTTGGATATAGGATAGTTATTCTGAGGCTATTACTCTTTCTGTTTCATTTTAAATGTCAATTTTAAGAATTGTAACTCACAATTTTATGAGTCACAATTTTCGAAATCGACGTTTGAAATGGGAAGGAGGTAACATTTAGTCAATGATAAGTTATTCCGTATTAGATACTTCATAATATTAACTATGTAGTACCAAGACGCTTTTATTTATATAATGATGAATATATATCGAAAAAAGTACAACATTATTGGTATCACAATGTATCTTATATATGTTTGTTATTTTATTATTATTATATTAACGAGAGAAATAATAATTTCTCACCATATATGATGCCGTTGTATAGTTTTTTTTTATTTAATTCATTTTTATTTATCTCTGAAAGACTATTTATATATAGTACTTGACAATAAGTGTAAATTTACACATATAAATCTACAATAAAATATTTAAATTAAGGGGTTGGACTTTGGAGTCTGAGATGGGACAGAGAAAATCACATTTACTTTTCCATGAAAGACTATTTACGTAGACTTGACAATAAGTGTTAATTTACACGTATAAAATCGACAATAAAACATTTAAATTAAGGGTTGGAGTCTCATATGGGACAAAGAAAAAGTCTGTGTCTTGAGATTTAGGATGACAACAGCGCGGAGGTGGGGTGAGTTCGGGTAAACTCTACTCGGTTATAAAATATATCATACTAATTTTATATTTATTCCGGAACGAATTTGTAATTTTATACCATTCTCGTTCTTATTCTGATAGACAAAATATCGACTCCATCCCATGTATTCCGTTTAAATATGGGGCGAGACGGGGGCTGGCCGAGTTATGCCACTTTTATTATGTAGTAAAAAAAAAAATAGCCCAATGTGCTCAAGTTGGGCTGATAAATAAGCTGACCCAACTTTTAAATTATTAAGTAGTGAATATTAATATATTAAGAGTAGTGATACACAGACCGAACACTTGCAGGGAATTGCCTAACCGAATAATTTTTAATTGACTATTTATACCAAATACAACTAAGTGGAGGGCTCCACTTCTTTATTTATTGCATAATTGACCAATTGAAAGAGTATGTCTTAACAATTTACTGTAACTATTCGGTGCAAGAATCATTTTCTATATATTAATGGACACTTCCAACAAAATAACACGAGTCTTAAAAATATTAAATATATATTATATATACATATATAAAATAAAATGTACATATATAATCGGGGCGGGGTCGGGGCAGGTTCATCACTAAATCTGATCTCGCCTCAAATTCGTTTCGGATTTTCAATTATTTTACCATATTCGTCTCAAATTCATTTAGAGACCACTAAATTTACCCCATTAGGAGCGGGGGCGAGGGCGGGACCGAAACCCGTTGGATCGGAGAAAATTGCCATCCCTAGCTAGAATTGCCTCCCAACACTTGCATAAAATAGAATAAAATTAGAAAAATAGAATAAAATCAAATACTCCGTAATAAACTTATGTTGCGTTTGGTGTACAAGAATGGAATGGAATGAAATACCTATTCCAACTATTCCTTTATTTGTTATGCAATTTAAAGTGAGAATATTCATTCCATTGGAATAAAAATTCATTCCTGGGAATGAAAATCCATTCCACAACTAAACCTATGGAATGGTCATTCCATTCCCAAGTAAATTTTTTTAAAAAATCAACTTCCCAGAAAACCCTCATGTTCCAAGTCCAAAAATCACTACTAGCTTCCACCACATCCACCTTCACGTTTCATCGCCACTACCACCACCACCACCACCACCACCTTCCACCATTGCCACAGACTTTCACCACCACGCACCTACCGTTTTCCACCGCCTTTCACCACCGACACCGTCTTCCTTTGCCCCAACCACCGCCGCCACCGCCGCCTTTCACCACTGCTACCGCTACCATTTTCTACCACCACCACTACCGCCTTTCATCACAACCACTGCCTTCCACCACTACTGCTGCCACCACCTTTCACCACCGCCACCGTCTTACACCACCGTTACCACCTTTCACCGTCACCGCCACTACCTTTCACCACCCCTACCACCTTCCACCACCGCTGCTGCTCCCACCACTGCCATTGCCTTCCACCACCACCACCGCCATCACCACCACCATCGCCTTTCACCACTACCACCTTCTACCACTACCACAGCCTTCTTCCACCATTGCCGCCGTTGCCTTTCACCACCGCCACCGTCTTACACCCCACCGCCTTACACCCCACCGCCACCATCTTTCACCACCACCACCACCGCCACCATCTTTCACCACCACCACCACCTTCCGCCACTGCTGTTCCATCTTTTACCACCACCACCACCATCGCTATCACCTTCCACCACCACAACCGCTACTGCCTTCCACCACCACCACCACTATCGCCTTCCATCACCACCACCGTTACCACCTTCCACCACCACCATAGTCACTTCCATTGGCTTCCACCATCACCACCTACACCACTATCTCCTTCCAGCACCACCAACACTCTTGACACTGCCTTTCACCAATACCGTCGTCTTCCACTATTGTCACCACCGCCGCCTTTCAACACCACCACTACTGCTTTCCTCCTCCACCACCATCCACCACCGCCACTACTACCATTTATTTAAAAAAAATTATAGAAGAATGTCATTTTGTTAATTTAATTTATTTTTCACTAACAGGGATATTTTGGAGAACTCAATTTGAAATTTATTCCATTCTAAATTTAAAATTAGTCCAACCAAACACTACAATTGTTATTATCATTCAATTCCTACACATTCCATATTTATAACCAAACAATAGAATGAGAATGGCTATTCCATTTCATTTCTATTCTCATTACATTCCCACTTATATTCTATTCCATTCTTACCCACCAAATACAACATAATACATCTCATGTGACAGTGAGTAGATAGTAGACATAATTTGACACGGAAAATTACAAATTGGTACTACATTTTAACTTTAAAGACTAAGAAATTTTATACGACCATAAAGTTGTTCATTTAATTAGTATTTCCTACAAAGTTTACAATTTCATTGACAATTTTTTTTTTCTTTCTTCAATATTATTGCCCTTTCTTATTGAAATCCCTCTAATAGTATTTTCTTAGTGAATCATAACTATATACCCTTTGGTTCTAATTTTTAATTAGTACCAATTTACTATAACAACGAAAAAACAGAGTTTTTGGTTGCTACCAAAATTAGAAATTTCAAACATATACCAATGAACAACTTTTTGGTCCCTACCAAAATTAGATTTTACCAATTATAATAACAATAAATTAAAAAAAAAACTATGTCATATAAAAAAAGTGTATCGAGATGTTATAAATTTTTCTTTCAAATTACAAGAAAATCACAATAACAAATATATATATATATATATATATTTATAAAAAATAATTTGTAATATGGGACTTATTTGTAAAATATTTACTAAAAATAGGACTTAATTGTCTTAACAAAATTTTAGACGACTTATTGCTCCTTACACTTAAAATGTAAAACTAATAAGTAATTTTTTTTCCTTTTAACATATTGAACACACAGTCACGCAGTTACATGACTTTGTCTCCACAGGTACCTGCACTGTTGGAATGGCGTCTCCCAACACATCAGAAGAAACTGTCGTGATGGTTAAAAATGGAGATGCATTCCCAGTGGAAATTGGAGTAGTCTCATGGTGGTTCAACGGCGGAGACACCGACATGGTTATCGTGTTCCTGGGAGAAACTTCCAAGGCTCACACTCCGGGGTCATTCACCTATTTCTTTCTCACCGGCACTCTAGGCATTCTGGGAGGTTTCTCACCCGAATTCGTTAGCAAGGCTTATGATTTGAACGAAGAAGAAACCAAAAACCTGGTGAAAAGCCAAGCAGGTTCTTTGATAGTCAAGCTTAAAGAAGGAATAGCCATGCCTAAACCATGCAAGAACGCTAGTGATGGAAAGCTCGTGTTCGGCTTTGAGAATGCATCGCCTGATGTTAAGGTCAAGAATGGCGGATTGGTGACAACTATGACCGCGGCAAGACTTCCTTTGCTCGGAAAAGTTGGACTTAGTGCCAATGTGGTGAAGTTGGATGCCGATGCCATGTCCTCGCCAATGTACACCACGGATTCATCTGTACAATTAACTTATATTGTGAAGGGAAGTGGTAGAGTTCAAATTGTGGGTATTAACGGACAAGGCGCATTGGATGCAAAAGTAGAGGCTGGTCACTTGTTCGTCGTGCCCAGATTTTTTCCGGTCACTCATGTTGCAGATGGAGAGGGAATGGAGTTTTTCTCCGTTATAACATCTCCAGAGTAAGCACCATTTTCATTGCCATACACACACTTGAGCTCTCATACGTATTTACATTTGAATTGCAAGTAAATTAAGCCTAGCTGACAATTAGCTCACCCATACTATTTGCTTTGTTATATATATATATATCTTTGCAGGCCTGTATTTGAGAAGTTAGCTGGGAACACATCAGTTTGGAAAGCCATAGCTCCAGTAGTTCTTGAAGCTGCTCTTGATGAGACTCCAGAATTTGTGAAACTTTTCAAGTCCAAGATTAAAAAGAGCACAGTTCTTATCCCTCCAGGGAATTAATATTTGACAAGTTAATTACATTATTACCACTTCAGTCATTGTTGTTGAAGTTTTCAATGTTGTGGCAGTTTTTAAATATTATTTGTAAAAACAATGAAATAACGTAATTGCTCAACATATATCCTGTTGTTGTTCCTGTGTGTGTGAGCGCGCGCGCATTTGACCGTTTATTATCACTCGTGTGTATTACACGGACGGTCTCGATGCGCCCATAATTATCGTTATTGTAATATGCGTGCATACTTGTGCGTGTATTGCACGAACGGTCTCATTTTTCTCATTTTGAATTGTAGCGCATGTACATGTTTATATGTTCTAATTTTGTCGGTGCATCAAAATTTCAAGCTTATGAGTAATAGGCGAGAAATGGGAGAGAAGTACTTCCGTATACTAGTTATACTCCCTGCCATCAATTAATTATATATATTAAAAGTGCTTTACATTAATAAGTCCAATTATTACATGTCGGTATTTAATTAGTTGATTATTTCTCACATTAGACAATGATGGACCTATAAAGTCCTCAGTGGGGGCTGCTCCACCCACTGATTATTATTATTTTATTATTATTATTTTTTTTATAAACAAAATTACTTAAATTTTTTGTTAAAATCTTAAAAATGCCTCAATTTATTATTATTTTTTTATATTATTCCACCATATATTATTATTGTTCAAATTTGGCCCCTCATACAATTGTTTAACTCTATCACTGGTATTAGGTCGTAGTCCCTTGAGTTGGGTTGTGCATCTCCTCTAGCTACCACCGACGGAGATTTGGGTGGATATTGTGTATTTGCTTATTGATACATCGTCTATATTATCGGGAGAATAAAACTCCCTCTGTCCCAAATTAAATGTCCACATATCTATTTTTAGTTGTCCGAAAATTAATATTTCAATTGAAAAGTCAAAGTACTAATATTTTTTTTTTTTTTTTTTTTTTTTTTTTTTTTTTTTTTTTTTTTGTAACATTATCAATTTAACTTTATTACATTAAACTTATAAAGTAAATCATCACATCCTGTCGACCTATTATGGACGTATTTGGTAATTCATTCACTAATAATGCAATACAAAAATATTAAAATACATTCTTTTAAAAAATTAGATTCCCGAAAATGGACGTTTTATTTGGGACAGAAGGAGTACTTTTTTAGCCATCAAGAAGAAAGAGTTTTGGTTAAATTAAGATACTTTTCTTCTGGTTTTTAGAGTGGTTTGTGTTCTCTCACTTTATGTTATTTATTACTCCCTCTGTCCCATAATAGTTGGGAACTCAATTCCCAAAGCACCGAACTATTATGGGATAGCTATTAGTTTTTGAAAGTATACATACATACATATAGATAGATAGATATGGGCTGCAACACAGGCAGCCCAAAATAAGCAAGAACTGGGTTAATTACAAGCCGGTACAGACTATACTCATTCGACCAACAAGATTCAAAGACTGAACCAATTAAAAATAAGCCCAAACATAATAAAAAGTAGTGACCGTAGGGGTTTCCAAGCTCATCATTTTAAGTAGTCCAACTATGGGATCATTGATAGAGGATTTATTCTGGTAAGAATATCAACCATTTGGATTTAATATTTGTTGTTCATTTTGTGATGTATTAATTAAGGATTACTATGCCTATATGAACAAAAGTTGATACGGGTATTCTTTATGGATTAAGAACCTTTGCTGTAAAGGGATCATGATGTACCCATGTTGTAGTGTAAAAAGAAATATTTTTGAAATGGGTAATTTTAGATTCAGACAATAAAAAGGAATGACGTTACGGTAAAAATATTACCAAAAAAAAGAAAAAAAGAAAACTACCAAACAGAACAAAAAATAAAAAAGGAAAACAAAATATCCTCTTTTGCTTCAGCGCCTTCCTTGTCACCATCCCATCCGCCATCTCCCTCCCTCGTCACGGTCTACCTCAAACTAGTATACTTCTACTGGGTTATTCCGGCAACACCTCATCGCTGTCTCACGATTGTATTTTCAAGTACTCACCCTTTCTTTCTCACTTTCCCTTTCTTTTCATTGTTATAGGACAACCCTAGAATTATTCATGACAGCATGATCAATTAGAATGACTAATGATTTTAGAGTAAAATTAGTTTTAAAATATTGATGTGGAACATATTTTTAGTTTTTACTTTTCATATTTAACCAAACAAATAGCACCTTTGCTCCATTGAAACTTCGGTAGATTAAATACCCCCAAGCCCAGTTCAGATAAATATATATGTTTACACCCTTATTTTCCACTTTCCAGTAGAAGATTACGCTGGTCGATTTTGTTGATTCATGGTTGATCAAGTGTTTTGCACTTTAAATGTGTTGTCTTGTTGATGAGAGGGTTCAGCACTTAAAGGGCTCGACACTTACAAGGTTCAGTACTTACATGGTTCAGCAGCACTTAAAGGGCTCAGCACTTACAAGGTTCAGCACTTACATGGTTCAGCACCTAAGGGTTCGACACTTACAGGGTTTGGCACCTAAAGGTTCGGCACTTAAGGTTCGGCACTTAAAGGTTTAGCAAGCTCATGGTTCAGCAAGCTCGTGGTTCAGTAGGCTCGTGGTTCAGCAAGCTCATGTTTCAACACAAGTTACAGGAAAGTTCTTTTATATATCTGCTGGAGGCTGATGGTTCAGCAAGCTCATGTTTCAACACAAGTTACAGGAAAGTTCTTTTATATATCTGCTGGAGGCTGAAGGCATTTCTATACAAGGCTGAAGGTTGAAGGCAAAAGGCATTTCTATACAAGGCTGAAGAGCACAAGGTTGAAGGCTGAAGGCAGAAGGCTGAAGGCTGAAGGTCTATACAAGGTTGAAGGCTAAATGGGCTGCAACGAGCAATATATGGTTTAAGCAACAAGTGTCAAGTTAAAGGGTATTTCTGGAAGTCCATATACAATTGTGGTCACAAGGCTGTACAATGAATATTCAAATGACACGTGTACAGTGGTCCTTCAAAGAGAGTGTGATAACAACTTTGTTTTGTCTCTAAGAAAAGAATAGCAAAAACAAGTTTGCTATGTGTATTTGTGAGCTGTGAATGAGCTTGGAATATACCACTACCACGTGGCATTGTGGTCGTGCAGAGAGAAACCAACATTCTTGTCTCATTGGCTAATGCAAGAAGGTCTTATCCATTTTAGTGCTGAAATGAGGACCCTATAAATATGCTGTTATAGCATTTGTGAAAAATGGGCTCCAAGAGTGAAAAAGTAAGGCTCTAGTAGCTAAGAGAGAGAGTCCTATTCGAGAGCTGAGAATAAATAATAATTTCTGAGATATTGTATGATGTTTGAGCTTCAATGAATCTCTAAAATTTGCCTAAAGGGAGCACAGTTGATGTGAAGCTGAATGAGGCTGTGAAGAGCTGATTTTCGGGTGCAAGAGGTGGCTGAAGTGGTTCGAAGTTGCTGAGGTTGTTTCTGGAGCTTGAACAAGGGCTGCGCATACATATTTTGGTGATATACAACAGCTGAAGGTGCCTGAGACTACATATTAAGGCCGGTATTGAATATCTTATCTCAAATCTCTAGATAATCGTGGTTTTCTGGTTTAAGCTATTGAAACTGAGCTTATCATGTTGAATTCATGCTATATACCAACTGTCTATCATCTGAACATGTCTAGATTGTTGATTTGAGACTGTTCGAGTTAAGATTTAAGCCTAAGGAAGGGTCTTGTCAGTATTTGATATTGTGAACCTCATCTGCCTATGTTTAAACATGTTTTTAAGTTTGCCTTGAGTATTGAATTCACTATATATTGCGGTGACTGATGTGTTATACATCTGAGTACGTTCATATAGTCAATATATGATTGAGAGAGCCAAAATCCAGAGTTTTGTAATGGTGAAATATCAGGTTTGCCCTCATAAAAGTGCTGCAGCTGAAACCCTCTTTTGAAGCCTAATTTGTGAGTTAATATTTGCTGTTGTGTGAGCTGCTGTGTTAAGCCTTTGTTAATATATCATGTCCCAACTTTAAAACAAGTGTAATATATCTTTTTTAAGCTGTGGAAGACTTTGGTTGCTGAGGAATTGAAGCCTCTTAAGGCTGTGTTTGACAGAACTGAGATTTGGGGTTTCTAACCGTAATGTTGCTGTTGTGAGCTTAAATTGTTGATACCTTGCTGTTTGAATTGTTATTATCAATTGAGCAAGTGTGCTATACATATTGAAGACTGGGGGAGTGAAGATTGAGGTGTTCCGAAGGCCAAAATTACAAAGTTGTTCTTGAAAGCTTGGGTTTGGTATGATTAAGGCTGTTTGTGAGTAATCATTGTTGTACCTTGCTCCAATCTCTGTGAATCTTATTGAGCAAAGGTTTATGAAGACATCAAGGCCGAGGGTGACAAATGTAGGTCAGTGCTGAAGCTTTTTATGCTGAAGTGTGATAATCTTGATGAGCTTATTGAAGACATTGTTTATGCAAGTGTGTTTTAAAATTATAAAGCTGTGAAGACAGAAAAAGGGGGCCTTAAAGAAGATATTCTATGAGTTGACTGATTTACCCATTGAAGAGGGTTTGAAGTCTAATTGAGCTGAATTGTTGAAGAAACTTGCTAATCACCGTCCAATACCTTATTGAGCAAGTTTGCTGAGCTGAATGAAGACTGTGGGATCTTAGTATGAGTATCAGTTGAAGCTGCAGTGTGCTGAGGGAGGCTTATCCTATTGATTGCAGAAGTATAAAGCTAAGGTTTCACTGTGTACTTTGTTACAGGCTGAGTTCTATGTTATTATCTTGTGGTGCAGCTGAAGTGAATTGTATTTGGTGTATTGACACTTGTTGTAAATGGCAGTGAGGCATGACCCCTCACCCCATTGTTGAGTGGTAGTGAGGCTTTACATCCTCACCCCATTGTTGAGTGAGCTTTGAAAGCTTATTGGGTCCAAATGTGGTTGCTTCGGACAGGGGGAGTACGTGGATGCACTGTAGTGTACTAGTGTGTGTGTATTGGTTGTGAAAACTAGTGTCTATTCTGGTACACGGGTGTGTGCAGAGAGTGAGACAGTTGAGTGTGTAACAAGATATATACAACTAGTGGAGGCTTTTATTGGCTGAGGCCAAGAACCAAGGTTTTTCCCTGTTGATAGGGTTACCTTGTATATCTTGTGTCCATGTGATTTGATTGATTGCCTTGAGTTTTATCTTCTATGTTAAGTATGTTTGTACTCAAGTGAAAAAAGAAAGAAAGTGCCAAAGACCAATTCAACCCCTTCTTCTTGGTCCAACAGATTTTAATGGAAAGGTACTATGACATTCCAGTGGAAAGTCTTGGGACATATGGCAGCCAAGGAA